TTTTTCTGTAGTGTCCTTATCTTCTTTGTAATTAGGACCAGTGTTGGCCTATTGTGATTAGAAGTTTTTCTTCCTTTTCAATTTTGTGATAAGGCATGAGAATTGGTATTAATTCTTCATTAAAAATTTGGTAGGAATTCTGATTAATTTACTTACTCATGATTGATCTTCTCTGAATTTCCATTTTTTCTGATTCTTTATTGTAATGTTTTTTCTAAGAATTTGTTCATATCTTCAAGATAGTTTAATTTTATGCCATATAGAAGTAATAATACTTTTGTTATCTGATTTCCGTAATATTTATCATAAACTATTTAATTGTTACTTATTTGTTAAACTGGCATATATTTTCCACTGTAGAATCAAGAGCGATAGCACAGCGGTAGGGCGTTTGCCTTACACGCAACCCAAGTTCGATTCCTCCGCTCCTCTCGGAGAGCCTGGCAAGCTACCGAGAGTATCTTGCCCGCACAGCAGAGCCTGGCAAGCTCCCCGTGACGTATTCGATATGCCAGACACAGTAACAACAAAGTCTCCAATGGAGACGTTACTGGGCCCGCTCGAGCAAATCGATGATCAATGGGAGGGCCTTTACCTGCCTTTACCTTTAATGTTTAATTTACAAGTGAATAGAAGATACACAAATTCATATAAACATACAGGGCAATGATGAAAATAGTACATGTTGTAGTATCATGGCTTTGATATTATACTGCCATATGATGTCATCATTGGGAGAAGCATGATACCCTGTTACATTTGAATTTTCTATGAGTCTCTTTCCTCAAATGAAATATTTTCTAAGGATTGGAGACATAATACAGTGGGCACAGTGCTTCCCTTGCACTGCTGACACAGGTTCAATCCTTGGCACTAAATTTGGTACCCAGAACCTTTCTAGGATTGATCCTGAGTACCAAGCCATGAGTAAGTCTTAGGTGCCAATGGCTGTAGCCCAGAAATATGCCTAAAATTATTTTTTAAACTTTATGAAAACTCATATCTAAGATCAAAACAATTTTATATGCCACAAAGTATAATTTTATTTTAAGTTTTTGATTATTTAAAAAAAAGAAAACTCACTCTTGGTTGTGGGTTGCACAATCAAGAGATGACAGAATATATCTTATCTAAAGAATGTTGTTTGTTTATCACTAAATTAAGTAGCATCAATATTCTATGTTGAAAACTGTATTTTAACTATGGTAAAGCAATGCCTTTCAGAGTAATTTAGAATAGACAGTGTGAAACACTTGAAATAGTAAGAAAGAGACAAAGGATCCAATAGGATCTTGTAAGACTGTACTGAAGATTCAGAGTGAAGACTTAGAAAAATTTCTTTGATTAATCTTGCAAAGTTTTTACAAGTCTGAAAGGGTATCAAAATAAAAATATTCACACATACATACATCTAGTATTTTCCTTACAATCTGGGGAAAGAAAATGAGTACATGTAGATTATAAAAAAACATAATTATTTAGGATAAATGATTCATTTTTTATAAATTTCCCTGGTACGTAATATGCTGCCAGGAGATATCCCTGAGCACAGTTGGGCATAGCCCAAACTTCCCTTGTCTCTTCTGTCCAAAAAAGATTTGAATCTGAAAGAAGTGATGTGCTAATCCTCTAAGTATCTGGAAAAGACATACCAAATAAAGGGACTAGCATGGACAAATTCTTTATTTTTATTTTTGCCTTGCATGCGGCCCACGGGGCCCACCTGGTTTGATTCCTCCACCCTTCTCGGAGAGCCCAGCAAGTTACAGAGAGTATCTCACCTGCACGGCAAAGCCTGGCAAGCTCCCAGTGACGTATTCGATATGCCAAACACAGTAGCAACAAGTCTCACAATGGAGCCATTACTGGGCTCACTTGAGCAAATCGATGAACAACAGAAGGACAGTGCTAAAGTGATTCATAGACAAAGATTCATTATTGTATTTTATTATTTGAATTATTTGAAATTTTCCAAAATTGAAAGCTTTTATATGTACATACATATACAGACAAGAACTACAAATGTTTGTAGAAACCATTACAGTTTCATTAAAACAAATAACTGTGATTTGGGAGAATATGATTCAGCAAAAGAAAAAAATCATATCTGCTACCCAATAATTTTATTCTTTAGAAATTATTCTATAAGAATTAAAAATTATATATGTAACTTTAAAGACAGAAACATAAAATAGAAATAGTATATCCAACCAATTAACATTAAACTTAATTAATTTTGTGAGTTTAAATTAGAAAAATAAAAAATTTAAAGCAGTCGTGTGTGGGTGACAACAACACTGAAAAATTTTAAATCTATATGCATTTCATTTTAAGTTCTTTAGGGAAGGGAGGTGGGCACACTTCTTGATGAATGTGGTATTGTGTGGTATTGTGTTTCTTATGTGCATAAGAAACTATCAGTAACAGGATTGAAAATCAAGCCAGAGAGAGTACAGTAGGCAGGGTTCTTGCTGTGCATATAGCAGACCATTGTTCAATCTGTGAAACCCCTGAGCCCTCCCAGGAATGATTCCTTAGTGCAGATCAGGAGTAAGCCCTAAACAAATCTGGGTATGATCCCCCAACCAAAAAAAGAAAGAAAGAAAGAAAGAAAGAAAGAAAGAAAGAAAGAAAGAAAGAAAGAAAGAAAGAAGAAAGAAAGAGTAATAAAAAACAAAACAGTATTGTACAGCATTGTAAAACACAGAACTTCAATAAATTAATTTTTTAATTTAATTTATTTAATTTATTATAATATGTGATAATCTTTTTGTGTTTCTATATTTTCTGCAAAGTACTTTCAGGATTAGTTTTAAAACAATTTTCTGACCATATATCAGCAGGAACAAAACTTGCCTGAGCTAATAATAAGGAATTAACATTTTATATATCAATATAAAGAGTTTATTTGGGAAGTTTGGGGGTCACATTTGGCAATGCTGAAGTTCAACTCCCATCTCAGTGCTTGGGGGTCAACCGTGGTATTGTGTGACCAGACAATGCCAGGAATAAAACCCGGACCTCTTGTATACATAGTACACTTAGCCCCTTGGGATATCTCTCTGGACCAAAAGAAACAGTATTAACCAGGCTTTGAAAATAAAAATGATATAAAACTGCATATGAAATACTAGCATCTATCTATCTTATAATGAAAAAAACATTAAAATGCTAAGGAATAGGCTAGGGCAGTAATTATCTGTTTTATAGAGAGAGACATATGCCTAAAACTTTAGTGGCACTGGACAAAGTTTGAAAAAGAATTGAATCTAGATCAAAGTGGAACATAGGCCTTCTCCTAGTAGAGTTAATAGAAACCCAAAAAGGCTAATGCGCACAGAAGTCCAGATAGAATTCAAAGCACAACCAAAAGGACCAACAGCTTGAGGCTTGCTGCAGTGACAGCACTTTAGCCTAGGGAAATAGAGACAAGCCAAAGAATTTTTCTGACCAGGTCATTTAGCTCAGAAATCAGGACTGACCAAGGAAGTAGCCTAAGACACAGCTTCAAGTTAGAAAGCGTGAGATGATGTTAACGGGTCTTAAAAAAAAATAGGGAAAATTGAGTAGGAAAATTGACTGTCACAAAGACCAGTGATATAAACAAATGAGAACCTATGCTCACTCATAAGGGAAAAAAAATTCTATGGAAAGCAAAAAGAAATGATATTAAATGTACTGAAGTGCTGTAACCCAGTGGAATATTAAATAAAACCCACTGGAATGTTTTTCTTTCTTTAATAAATCAATTATGCCCTTGTACAAAACCTGAAAAATATTTGATACAAGTTAAAAGCTTTCTGGTGTTATTATCCCAATGATATTCAGCCTCCTCTTCAAGATGATTCCTCTGCTAGTATACAGGCTAAGGAGGAAAATTTAGCACTCCTTTCAACCAAAGTCAAAACTTACTCTACCACACAAGTCCTTGAGACTCAGTTGACTCATATTTGGACAGTCTTTCCTTTCTTTCACAGGGGCAGTAGTAAAAGGTCTATCACCATTTATTATGTAACATATTTCTATGATAAAAATCTCGGTTCTATTTTCCCCCTATTTTTTGTTTTCTTTATCTAGATATGGGGTAAGTATAGGTAAGTAGGAGTGGTGTTTTATATTGAAAGGAAAATTTAAAAGGGTAGATGACTGATCTAAGTTATACTTTTAAAAAGAGAGATACTATCTACTGTTTTTAAGCATCATTTGGAGTCTTTAATTCCTAAATTCTATATGAATGAAAGATCAAGTACTTCACTAAAGGGAATAACCATGAACTTGGCACTGTGCTGGCTGCATTATGCAAATTATTGAATCTTTAAAACACTGAAAGCAGTTTTGTTCTCTGTTTTGTAAATACGGAGACTGTATCACTGTCATCCCGTTGTTCATTTATTTACTCGAGCAGGCACCAGTAACGTCTCCATTGGTCCCAGCCCTGAGATTTTAGCAGCCTCTCCTGAGTTATCTTTCCCAACGCTACCATATTGGAGGCTTTATCAGGGTCAGGGGAATGAGACCCGTTATTGTTACTGTTTTTGGCATATCGACTATGCCACGGGTAGCTTTCCATGTAAATATGGAGACTACAAAGTAAAAAGAAGAAGAAATTCCCTAAGATAAGTTTAAGCAAGTAGTTTGTGATGGAGCTGTATGTGTACTTTTTGGTTACTTCCAAACACTAAGTTTGACTTACGTGACTTTTTCAGGGTGATGTTGTCATTGTACTGTCACATTGCACAGCGTAAAGACTCTTTTCAAATATTCCCCAGGATAGAAGTCAAAAGAACTTAATATTCTTGTAAGATATGAATTGTGTGTGAATCATTAAGATATGAACTCAGTTATTACCATTCTCATTGATTGTACTAAAGCTGGGTGGTGGGATCATGATTAAGATTATCCCTATATAACTTTGCTTTCCCTAAAGAAACTTCTCAGTCATCACCCCATGATGTCACTTCTATTCTTTAGACACTTAAGACTCACATTATCCTTTGGTTTTAGTTAACAGATTTCCGAACCAACAAATATTTCACAGCAGCTTTTACATCCTTATTTCTTAAGCTATAAATGATAGGATTTAGCATAGGTGTCAGTACCCCATAAAACACAGAAATCAATCCTTCCCTAGCTTGCAAACTGTCCTTTCCAAATTGTTCTTGAGACTTGGGTTTGACATACATAAAGAGTATGGTACCATAAAATATGATGACTACAGTCAGATGTGCTGAGCAAGTAGAAAAGGCCTTGCGTCTTCCAGTGGCTGAGTTCATTCTCAAGATGGTGTAGAGGATAAAAATATAGGAGAAAAAGATGACTGTCAGTGGAAGAATCAGAAATACCATATTTGATATCACCATGGTGATAATATTGAGAGATATATCAGCACAAGCAAGATTGAGGACTGCTAATATTTCACATATAAAATGATTGATAATATTCTTCCCACAGAAAGGTAATTGCATGGCAAGAGATGTTTGCACAATTGAATTGATTCCACCAGAGAGCCAAGACACAGAAGCCATCAGTACATACACCATCTTGCTCATAATGATGGGGTATCTCAGAGGATTACAGATGGCCACATAGCGATCAAAAGCCATCATGCCAAGGAGGAAACACTCTGTTGACCCCATTGCAAATCCAAGGAACATTTGCACTGCACATCCAGAGAAGGAAATGTTTCTTTTCTTTGAGATTAAGCTCATCAAGGTAGACGGAACAGAAGAAGATGTATAACAGATATCCAGAAAAGAGAGGTTGCCAAGGAAGAAATACATGGGGGTGTGAAGGCGGGAATCAAAGACACTTGCTATGATCAGAACACCGTTGCCAATTAGAATTACTAGATACATAACTAAAATTACAACAAAGAAAATAATCTCCATTTGGGGGTAACCAGAGAGTCCCAGAAGTATGAATTCTTTCACAAATGTATTATTTATCCTATCCATATTCCAGCTCTCAGGATATAAAAAGAAGCCCAAAATTTAAACAGTTACACTGTCAAGCAATAATCAATGTAATAAATTACAAATACCTGGAATAAGCATACTCTCACTAGTGAAACAGTGTTTTTCTCTGAAGTTTTGTAGTATATTTCTGTAACCTGTTATCTTCAAGAGTGCTTGTGCCTAAAATACAATGATAGAGGGAATTTGAAAATTTCTATACTTGCATCTAATGTGTGAACACTTAACCTGGTTCAGGAACAAATTCAGAATCAGCCTTCACTACTATTGAAAACAACTTTAGTTAAAACCCCTCTATTATTTAGTATATAGAGTATAGCCTGATTTATTTCTTTATATAGGCTCAGTTAAAGCAAGATAGTGGAGGCAAAAAGCATCTTCAAAAAAAAGTACTGGAATTTTGATTTAAATATTTACCAGAAATACAAAACACTTAAAAATAAGTTCTATTTTATGCCCATTTATCTAGTTGGTACTGTGGATCCCTTCTGACTTAGTTATATTTTTATAGGGAAGACATTAGTTCATATTAAATTGATCCATATACACCGTAATTTAGTCTTTTCAAAGATAGATGGTGATTTCATAGCTATAACCCACTCTCACTATATTATTTCCCATTAGAATACAAGTACATAGACCAGTTCTGTAGATCTATAATGGAAAACATTTGAAGAACAACAGCCTTCCTTAGTTTTTCTTTTCTATCACTTTAGAGATAGAATTTGTTTAAGTGAACCCAAGGACATAGCATATGCTTAAATTGTATTTATATATGACACTTCACACTATAAAAACAATTCATTTTCTCGTGATCTTTATCATTTTAATGTAAAAATATAATTTTTTCTGCTATAAAATCATGAATCCCAGATGTTAGCCAATGAAGTTTAGAGCTTTTTGACCTTTACCAACAAAAGTGATTATAAAATGTTTGAATATTTACCACCAAGCACTATTTGTAATTTTTGGCCTTGTAGAAATAATGAATGATTTAAATCTTTAAAAAATAATATTCTGTTAAAATTGAAACTGTCAGTAGACCTGGGTCTGGGCCGATGATTGTGTATATCTGATATTTCAAGAATTAGCCAAAGCATCTGGTATGCAGTAACATCACCAGTAGCAAGAAAGTCGTTTAGCTACAGTTAGTTAGCAAGCTTGTGGGTTAAAGGAATTTATAAACGAAGGCCTTAGCACTCTTAAGCACCCACATTTAAAACCCAAAAGGATAAACACAGATTTCATGAGGAAATATTAACATGTTCTATATTTGCCCCTCATGGGAATTGGAAAGGTTGGGTTCCCTTCTAGGCAAATGCAATGTATTTCATGTCACTTAAATGACTTCTCCTGTCATGTATTCCAAAATTACCCCTCAATTCAAAGCCACCTGAGCCAGGCCTAATTTTGCTCTGCTTTTTGTTTCCCAGTTTTTATTCTGTAAGATTCTAAATTGGTTACTTTTTATTGGTTTGAAAGGAGGAGTTTGCTTGTCTTATTCATTTCTCTACACCTAAAGTCTAAACTCTGTAACTGCACCTAGCAGGCTTTGACTGAATAGATAAAGGTTTTCTTTCTGGATTCAAGTAATTTCCCTGTGTGTCATTTGAGAAGTTACATTCAAGAAAATTTTATCATTTCCAAATTTTCATTTTCAGCAGACTTTGTGTATCTTTCAATCAGTAAGACCAACATGACATCTTATGCAAAAATTGCACCAGTTTATAAAATAAAAACACATAAAGATCACCTAATGATGCAGGTGAATGTGTATACTTGAGAATAAATAGAAAGAAAGCTCATCCATCTGAGAGTAGGGGAGTAGAGAGATAGTACTGCAGGTAAGGACTTTGGCTTGACATAGCTGATCCCAGTTAGATTCCTCGCACTATTTATGTTCCCTCAAGCCTTTCCAGTAGTAATTCCTGAGCACAAAACCAGGTGTCACTCTGTTATGTCCACCAAAAAAACAAACAACAAAAATAATGCTTGAGACTCAGAGCAATGTTTTACATTTGAAGTTCTTTTCTTCCAGTGCAGAGTATCAGTTTTCTAATCTGTAAAATAGTGGCAGAAAAACTTGTTTTGTTCCTGGGTGCTTTTTTTGAGAAAAATTAAGTTAGCATTTGGAAATTGTTTTATGAATTAACTTACATTATACAGGTAATAATTGTAAGAAATAATAGCCCTATTTGGCAATAATAAATCAGTAGCTGTATTGTCTCAGGTTGTTGACATGCAATTCTAGATTAGATAATACCTTTAATACAAAATGAAAAGTTTCATGTTCAGAACTTGACAGTTTTCAAACTTACCCTTTTTTACCATCTAGAAGAACCAGTAACTTTCTTCTAAACAATACCAGCATTCTGAATTAAGATTAGGTTCGCAAAACAATGTCAGATTTGACGAATGTGAGAGAGTAAATATCTGTTATGCAACAACTGTAATTTCCCCCCAATTCTCAAAGCAATTTAAAGTTGGAATGAGAGATCTATGAAATGGGGAAACTTCTAGAGCATTAGAGAGAGTGTTCCACATATCCAATTAAAATTGTAATTGGTTATCCCTGATGAACACAAATGCAGATATCCTCAACAAAATACTAGAAATAAAATCCAAAAACTCATCTAAAAGAGTATACGTCATTGGCTAGTGAGATTCATCCTGGGATTAAATTACGGTTTAACATACACAAATCAATCAACATAATGCACCAGATCAATTAAAAAAATCATTTAATCATATTAGTACATGCATAAAAACATTTGACAAGATTCAGCACATATTAATAATAAAAAAACCCTCAACAAATTTGAGTGAAGGAACTTTTTTATCTTAACCAAAAACATTTACCACAATTTCATAGCAAATATTATACATAATGGGAAAAACTAAAAGCCTTCCCTCTTAAAACAGGCACAAGACAAGGTTTCACCACTTTCACCACGCCTATTCAATATAGTAATGGGATACTTGCCATAGCAATAAAAAGATGTCAAGATCTCCCAGACAGGGAAAGAAAAAGTTAAGCTCTCACTATTTTCGAATGACATGATACTATATTTAGAACATCTTCAAGACTCTTTTTTAAAAAGCTCTTAAAAACAGTTGATTTATATAGTAAAGTAGCAGGCTACAAAACTAATACACAAAAGTCATGGTTTTTCTATATGTAAATAACAAAACAGAAGAGAGTGAGAGAGAGAAAGAGAGAGATTTTGAAAAACATTCAAAATTGTGCCTTAGAAAAATCAAGTACCTTTAAATCATTGTAATTAAAGAGGTTAAGCAACTATATAAAGACAACTACGAAACACTACTTTAAGAAATAAAAGACACAAGGAAATGGAAACACATCCCTATGTCCCTATTCATGGATTAGGAGGATTAATATCATCAAAATGGCAATACTCCACAAAGCATTTTATAGATCCAATGAAATCCTATATCAAACACTTGTGAAATTCATAAGAAACAGTAATGCAGACCCCACCCTGAATATCTAACATAATCTGGAGTGAAAGAAGATTTAAGCCATCATTTCCCCCAACTTCAAACTATATTACAGAATTACAATAATTAAAACAGCATGTTACTGGACTAAAGACAGATTCTTTTTTTTTCATTTTTTTGTTTATTTTTAATTTTTTTTTTATTTTTCTTTTTTTATTAGTGAAACACCATGAGGTACAGTTGTAGATTTACAATTTTTTGTGCTTGGGTTTGATTATACAATGATCTGATACCCATCCCTCCACCAGTGCCCATTTTCCACCACCATGGATAATATCCCCCCCAACCCCATCCCCCATCCCCCTATCCCCCCTGTCTCTGTGGCAGGGCAATCCCCTGTGTTCACTCTCTCCTTTTGGGTGTTGTGGTCTGCAAAAGAGGCATTGAGTGGCAATCATGTTCAGTCCATGGTCTACTTTCAACATGCATCTCCCCTCCTGGGAGGATCCTCCAAACACCCTTTATTTGGTGTTCCCTTCTCTATCTGAGCTGCCCTTTCCTCTAGAATGCCCGACTGGCCACTAAGCTATGGAGTAATCCTCCTGGTGCTGATCTCAGCTATTCTTGGGTATTAATCTCATGTTTTGTTACTTTATATCCCCCAGATGAATGCAATCTTTCTATGTCTATCCCTCTCTTTCTGACTCATTTCGCTTAGCATGATACTTTCCATGTTGTACCACTTGTATGTAAATTTCATGACTTCATCTTTTCTAACAGCTACATAGTACTCCATTGTGTAGATGTACCAAAGTTTCTTTAACCAGTCATCTGTTCTTGGGCATTCAGGTTTCTTCCAGTTTCTGGCTATTGTAAAGAGTGCTGCAATGAACAAATAAGTGCAGATGTCACTTTGACTATACATTTTTGCCTCTCTGGGATATATTCCCAGGAGTGGTATTGCTGGGTCAAATGGGAGCTCAATTTCTAATTTTTTGAGAATCGTCCATACTGTTTTCCAGAAGGGCTGAACCAGTCGACATTCCCACCAACAGTGAGGGAGTGTCCCTTTCTCGCCACATCCGTGCCAGCATCGGTTGCTTTTGTTCTTTTGGATGTGGGGCAGTCTCTGAGGTGTGAGATGGTATCTCATTGTGGTTTTGATCTGCATCTCCCTGATGATTAATGATGTAGAGCATTTTCTCATGTGCTTTTTTGCCATTCGGATTTCTTCTTTGAGAAAGTTTCTGTTCATTTCATTGCCCCATTTTTGGATGGGGTTGGATGTTTTCTTCTTGTGGAGTTCAGCTAGCACTTTGTATATCCTTGATATCAACCCCTTATCAGATGTGTATTGGGAGAATATCCTTTCCCATTCTCTAAACTTTGTATTTTGGTCACTGTTTCTTTTGAGGTGCAGAAACTTCTTCGTTTAAGATAATCCCATTTGTCTATCTGTTTTCACTTGCTTGGCCAGTGGTGTTACATCTTTGAAGATACCATTAGCTTCAATGTCATGGAGG